GGATTGGGATTGCATTGAATGTATAGATTGCTTTGGGTAGAACTGACATTTTCACAATGTTCAATCTTCCTATCCATGAGCATGGGATGTTCTTCAATTTATGTAGATCTCTTATGGTTTCCTGAAGTAGTTTTTTATAGTTTTCTTTGTACAGGTCTTTTGTGTCTCCTGTACAATTTTTCTGTAAGCCTAAAACTGGTCTAAAATAAACAAAAAACTAAGGGAAAGGTACATTTTAGATGATAGTACTCTCTAGAAAGCCTGAGAGCAATTAAGTAGACAAGCATTCTGAAGATAATTGGGGAGAGAGAAAAAACAGGAGCTTTTTGTTCTAAATTCAAGTTCATTTAACTCTGACTTGGCATAGACTATGCACAAGGCCCTGTGCTACAAGCCTTTGTCCGAAGCACAGTCTTCAGACTGGGGAATACACACCACAGGGAGTGCACGAGATGACCAACTAGAGGGCGAAAGAAATGATCATAACCTCCATTTTGATTAAGCTACAAACATAAGACATAAAGGTTCACAAAGATTGGCAGCTCAAGGCCACACAGTTTGTAAGGATAAACGTTTAAACACAGGTCTGTTTAAGCATAAGCCTATTCTAATTTACATTAACTCCCATGTAAGAGGAAATGAATACAGTAACAATTGATTTCTAGCCTAAATCAATAGTTCTCAACATTTTTTTCCCCTTGGCTGACCATTTGCACTCAACTGTTAACCTAAAGGCTGCCAGTTGGAACCCAGCCAGCAGGACTACGGAAGAACAGTCCTCATGACCTGCTTCCATCAAAGTTACAGCCAGTACGACTCCATGTCTACTCTGCAATACACGGAGTCACCACTGAGTCAGACCATCAAAGTTACAACCAGTAAGACCCTCTGTCTACTCTGCAATACATGGAGTTGTCACTGAAAAACTCTCTGTCTACTCTGCAATACACAGAGTCATCACTGAGTCAGACCATCAAAGTTGCAGCCAGTAAGACTCTCTGTCTACTCTGCAATATACGGAGTCATCACTGAGTCAGACCATCAAAGTTACAGCCAGTAAGACCCTCTGTCTGCTCTGCAATACACGGAGTCGTCACTGAGTCAGACCATCAAAGTTACAGCCAGTAAGAC